TTTACTATAATACCTCACAAAGGGGAAGAGAAGCAAGCTAGAATAAAGGATAAACTACACCAACTTGAAAATGATATCCATTTGTCCTGCTCATTTATATACAATCCAAATAAAGACACCACTTGGGATCATCATTATAAACTCCGATATCCCTCATTTAAATTCTGACAATGTATGTTTTCATTTCTTTAACAAATGTTGAAATTGAAAACTTTCATGGCGAGACTTCTAAAATTACTAAAAATCATGAAGCTCCATTCCTCAAAAGTGAATCCAAATCATCTACTTCTTCCATGACAATTCATTCGGATATTAGACCTACAAAAATCCCTATATTTTTGGAACTAAAGGTATTGGCACATTAATTGATGTTACATTTAAATGGAGTCTATCTTATTAAAAAAAAGGCTAATGTTAATCATATTATTATAATCTTTATCTCTATGATAAAAAAACCCAACTCAATGTCAATGTTAAAAATGAAAACAAATAATGCTCGAGATTATTTTGATTGAATTATCTCATTTCCTCAATAAAGATGGAATTATTAGTTGCCAATTGTCCGACCCTAACACACCAATATAAAATGGAGAGACATAAAAGAAATATAGGCATCTCTTAGAAGTTGTCAAGGCAGTGCTCTTCCAAAATCAAGTTTACAAACATTATTGAAGAGAGATATCCTAACATTCAAATATTTCATTGATAAAATACTCTCAATATGATTGCTTCCCAGAAGTCCCCTATTTATCTTGTTGAATTTTTCCCACGAACAATTTTTTTCTCAAAACTTCCAAAATTTTTTTATTTTCTAACAGTTTTCACATTCACAAACAACATTAAATTATACTTGACATAGGGCACTCAAGGGTGTTTTAATAAAAAATTCTGTCACTCCAAAGGGAATAAATGTTGTCATCCAACCAAAAAATTATTCAATTCAATACATATCACTTTATATGAAAAATAAAGTTTATTCACTCAAACTTGCCTTCAAGGGGAAAACAGCCAAATGGTAGAAATATTTGATAAACTTAATATAATCTGTCTTAACAAATCAGCTACACAGACGCAAGAATAGCATTACTTCTATCATTTAATTTCTTCAGGTCTATACAAGAAGGACAAAACCCATCCATACAAGCTCAAGTTTTGGAACTAACTCCCCTAAAAATGATCAATCTATTATCACATATTCTCCTCTGTAATCCCATAACCTACTACACATCATTTCAAAAAAAAATTCCTGCATATAAAGTTGTCCTTATAAATATTAACTCTAGCACCAATAAAATATCACAAATCTTATTTGAGGTACTAAAAATAGATGGTTGGAAGAATGACAAAAAAGAAAAGATGAAGCACTAAAAAATTATACTTAGGAGATCTTCGATCTACCAAACGAGAAAAATTATAAGATGCATGTGGTTTTTCTCATTAGAATATAAAGCAAAATTAGTAGTAAAATGTTTATACTAAATCTTATTGAATAAACTACCAAGAAACATTTGCATTTGTTGTTAAAATAAAAACACGCAGTAATTTCTCGAACTATTAATTTTGGATGATCCATACAACAATATAATTTGAAAAAAGTAGTTTTACATATGGATGTTGAAAAAAAGAGTTTATATGAATCCTCCACCATGACTCAACAGGTCTTTCATAGAAAATAAAGTATGCAGCTAAAAAAAAACACTAGAGTCTCAAACAAAGCCCAAAGACATAATTTTGAAAATTTTCAAAAACTATATATTGACTGGATATAAAAAAAAATCAAAGAGATTATATACTCCTCATAAAACATTTCATTGATAAAAAAAGCCGATTCTTATTATGTATATTGATGATATAATTATTACAAAAAATGACAATAAATAAATGATTACACCAAAATGAAATTGTCGAGTTTGTAAAAAAAAAAACTCAGTATGTCAAAAACATCATTGGTATAAAAGTAAATTAGTCAGAGAAAGAAGTGTATTTCTCTAAACAAAACTATATTATGGATTTTTTGAGAGAAACAAAAATGACTCATTGCAAACCTTGTGAAACTCTAACAAAATTAGATCAGAAACTGAGACAAATGAAGAAGAAATAAAAGTTGATTTCGGACAATATCAAAAAATTTTGAGAAACCAATCTATTTATCTGAAACTACATCCTGCATCTCTTTTCTGTATGTATAAACCAAGGAAATCTCACATTAAAGCTACTTATAAAGTTCTCAAGTATCTAAAATCTATGAAACATATAAATTGAAAGTGATAATAATGTTGATTATGAAGGATCGTTTATGATTAGGATATCCACTTTAGGATATTGCACACTAGTTAGTAAAAAAAGTCTGTGACATGGAAGTCAAAAGGGGTGGAAAATAGAATGAGAGAAGTTGATGGGAAAGGAAGCTTTGAATAGCGAATAGAGAAATCATCCATCTATACAGTAATTGAAAGCCTAGGCTTGTCTTGCATGATGTCATAGCCAAGATCTCGCTTGAAGTAAATACATATCAAAAACAACAAAAAGAGGAAGTACTTGGATCCAAGGAGAAGTCTTGATAATACATTGATTTGACAGATTTAACCTTCTCCCCACACTCGTTAACATCAAAAAACTAGTTCAAAGCCTGAAAGCTTTGTCACTCAAAGTCACCTACTTGTTCCTTGTAAAAAAATAGGTAAGCTAGCCTTTCAAAGCATAATGAGAGATAAGAATAAGGTAGGTGGGTGGGAATAAGAAAGAAGTAGCAAGTGCTTGCTTCGATGGTTAAGAAGCATGTAAACTAGGCATAAATTGCGGTTTGAACCGGTTTCAGCAAAGCTTTCACTCCTGGCTCACAATGGGAATTCATCCAATGTTCATTTGGAAGCTTAACTCTATACTCCAATGTTTCGCTACCATAATCTATTTTTGGCTCTAAAGGAGCTTCATTCGCATTTACATTCGTTTGAGTGGGAGAAAGAAATAAAATTTAATCTCAAGCTCAAGATTTGAATCTGACTTCATCCAATGTTCATTGGAAGCTTAGCTCTATACTTAAATGTTTCACTACCATAAACTTTTTTTGGGTCTAAAGGATCTTCATTCTCATCAACATTCATTTGAGGGGGAGCAAGAAATAGAATGTAATTGTAAGGTCAAGATCTAAATCTAAAATTAGAGCAATCAGACAAAGTACTTATGAAACTCTAAGAATTACAATTTAACAAGAAGATTTAAAATTAAATGGAAAACACCTGTGAGGATACATTATGATAACAAATCTTCATCAGCATTGCCCACAATCTAACAATACATGATCGAACCACACATACGGAGATGGATAGACATTTCATAAAAGAGAAACAAAAAATTGGGATAATTTGCACATCATATGTTCTAACAAAAAATCATGTGGACAACATGTTCATTAAAGAGCTTTGCAGCTCTGCATTCAAAAATTCATTATGTAAATTTGAAATGGTAAACAAGATTAGGAATTGCTAAATAAGAAATACAATGTGTGACATTGATTCATTACTAGATATGAAAAGAGGCATTTCACAAATTGCTCCCTCCTCCTACTGAAAAGAGGCATTTCACAAATTGCTCCCTCCTCCTACTAACTAAGGTAGAAAGTTGTGGACAACAGCTTTAATATCTAAATTCTTTATAATTAGTAGCTTCCAAATAAGATAATATTCAATATAAATGTAATTTAGAGGAATGAACAACGCAAGCTTTTGATCCACTTCTTTTTCTATAATAAGATGATGCATCCAGTTAAAGATGATGAGGAAAACTTAAACTTGGTAAAATGAAGCTAATCATAATAATAGAACAACTGCAGACAATCATCTAAATTATGCTCATACCCCAATTTTGATTTGACTACTTGATCCTCATTATTCATTCAGTCATTTTGAGTGTCGATGGTGAAATATATTAAAAAATGTAACACTTTGTGAATCCAATCCATCATAATCATTTCAGATTAATTTTATCAATTCAGCTAATTGAAGCATCTTCTATCTTCCATTGCATGAGATTAAATAATCCAGTTATGATTTTTAACTACCTTCTCTGCAATATGTAATACTCATAGCAATTTTCAATCATGAAGAAGCAAAAAAACGTGACATCGTTAGAGCAAAAGGCTTAACACAAAGAGCATTGGTGCATGTGCATGATGCTTCCAATATACATTGCCAGAAGAAAAGCATAACCCTTTCGCACCATGATTTGAGCTACAGTGCTTCCACCAACACCAAAAAATTTGTATCATAAATCCATACCTTGATCATAGCCATCTCAATAATAACATAAAATTCTTCTACGCATTTTCCAAATACTATGAATCAATTAAGAAGGTTCTGGACATCCATGAAAATCAACCCTATAGCATGTCCCACTCATGAGTCATGAACTTTTTTACAAATTTGGCTGAAGTTCTAATGTCGTGGCCAATTTATATGAAGCTTTTACAGCTAAATTTGTATCTTTTTAAACCAAGCTTGAAGGAAAAGAATGGTTCTCAAAGGGCTTAAGGTTGAAATTCAGTAGAACAACATTTAACTGCGAGAGCAAAAGAAATGCAAATAAATACAATAATCTAGAAGAAACACCCTAAAAAATGAATTCACTATGAAGGAACTTGTGTCCAATGTCATGCATAAAATCATATTTGAGGCAATGAAGTAAAACATGAAGCAAATATAGAGGAATAAGATGGAAGATTCATATATACCATTCAATTCTTACGCATTTACATATCTAACACACCTAAACTTCAACTTTTACATCCATGCCACCCTACCTATGCATGAAAGGGTGTATTTCACTTTTTAAAGTTAAAATGGTAGTATTTTTTATGTGATATAAAAGACTTGGGTGGTATAATGTAAAAATTAAAGTTTAGGTGTTAGATATGTAAATACATAGCAATTGGGTGGTATGTATGTAAATGCCTCGAATAAGATTAGCAGCAGTCATATGATCAACAAGAGAAATGGTTTTACCTTGACAAAAATCCAAGATGGCATTAAACCATCACCTAAAACCCAGGTTACAAGTCCTTGAATGTCCTGCCCAACAAAGAACTTCCATCAGAGATCTAAGACATACAATAATCCAAACTTACAATAAAGCCTTTACCTGCAAATAAACTGCTTTAGAATCTGGGCTCTTAAAAGTAACATCAGCTGTTCCCTTTATAAGCACAAAACAGAAGTAAATAATCAGATGAATAAATGATTTCGCAATTCACGAGTAAATAGAACAATATCATATTTTTCAGATAATGCACAATTAAGCAAATTTGAGCATAAATTAAATTTTCGAATGTGAACCTCTGATCCTATGATGACCATTACAAACCGAGTTAAGAATCCATTTAATGTGGTAACTCTCAAAACAGCCATTCTGAATAGCTTGCATGTATAGCCATATGTGGTAACTTTTAAAACACCGTTTGATTTTGACCTAACCCTAATTCTGAATGGCTTGCATGAATAGCCAAATTTTGACCTAACCCTAATTCCGCTTTGTTGATTTTTAAAATCAGCAACCCCAAATTAAATATTCTACAACTTTAATTACTCTCGTGTTCCCTTTTGCATCTCCCAACCCTAAACCCTAATCATGTCACCAAGGAGATATATGTCCGAGCCTACCCAATAAGAGATAAAACGAGAGATCTGCCGACTTCAACCGAGATTGGCGAGCATTGGGGATGACAACCAAGAGGGACTTACCCTCGATGGTGACAAGGAAAGACGAGGAAAAAAGGGAAAAGAGTTTCAATCTCTTCCATAAAGAGGATTTTAGTGATGAAGAAGAAAGGCCGCGACACTTGGGAATCAAGAATCAAAAGAGGCCACACATGGAGGATGGGAGAATCTCAAGATGAAGTGGGAGATACAACGCCCGTTCCTGCCAACTTACTAAAAATAAAAACTTCAGACCCTAGCTTCAGAATGGAAGAGACCACATCACTGTGTGACCACTCCACTTACAGGCAGAGTTCAACTTTAAGATCTTACAACCAGAGTATACCCAGGATAGCACCCAAGACGACCTCGTTAGAGGAAAAGCTGATTCAGAGTGGAAAACAGGAGGAACCAATCCGCATCCCAAAATCTTTCACAGTTAGGAAGTGTTGCAAGTGCCACGAATTTGGGCATGTTGAATCAGACTGCACAATCAAACGGTGATTTGTTTCAATTAGGAGGGCGTTCTTCAAAAATTGGGCAATGACACAGTAGACATTAAAGACGGTGATGACACAAAAGAGCATAGCCAACTTCTAGTTGAGTAGGAAAAGATGCACATAATTCTAGCTAAGCCCGTGAGAGAGACTCCAACCGACTTCACGATGTGTGTCCATGGCAGTCTTGAGTTCTAGGAACTGACACCAAAGGTATGACAACCCGAGATAAGAGAATTCATACCATTCAGATCTAAAGAATCATGTTTGAGTTGCCCATACTGAGGGAGATCGAGCACGTCAAAAGGGGGCTCTTTATGTGCCACATCGAGAAGATCATGAAATTATTCAAATGTTACATTAAGTTCAACATGGTACCCATCATCAGATGTCTAGACAGGATAGATGAACCCCATCCTTAAAATTTGTCTTAGGAGCTTGATAGGAAAGAAAATTCTTCAATGGGATTCTGATCCTATCAGTGAAGAAGATGTCTCTCCTGAGTGGTTGCAAGTGAGATTAGTGCAGCCTACCACAAAATTCACCCCAGAGTTGATTTCTTCTCACATATTGGTTTATCAGTACATTCCACTGAGTACGATAAGTGGAAGAAGAAGGTTTCAAACTTGAGGGCTCAAGAGTTACATTATGGGATCCTACATATATATGCAGCTCTAAATTGTGATGTGCCAAGAGAAGATGCATATTTATTCTATTAAGACTTGTTGTGGGATGACAAAACCTATCTGATCGACCTCCCAGGGGATTGCAATATCTCTACTACCATCAACACGACAGACTTGACTCCATGCTACAAAAAAGTAGAAGCTTCAACGAATGAAGTCCAAGCTCCCCAAACCCCGAAAGATTGACACCGGAGCTTGGGTTGCTGCCCCTTTTTCCTATTTTGATCCCTTGCCTTTTTCTATTCCCTTTCTATTTCAATTAATTCTTATTCTAGCTACTAGTACTTAGTATAAATATCTTGTTTGCTTCCTTAGGGTTCAGTTTTTGGTGAGTTTTATTTTGGACTTCTGTCAGGACAATAGCCAGCGTCAATTTTCCCCTTCGAGGGTTGTGTCTGAGGGATTGGGTGACTCTTCAGCTATATTTGTCTCCTTAGGTGCTCATATCTTCCTCCTATCTCCTTCTACAATCTCCCCCACCACTGTCGGTCACTGTAAATCGCTGCAGCCGGCCACAACAACCTTTTGTTTGTTGTTTTATGCCACCCCAACTTACCAGTCACCTCCTACTTACTTCTAGCCTTGCTGCCACCCAAACTGCATCTTCTCCTTGTTGTCCCAACCTTCCCACTATACCACTCCTGCCCAGAACAGCCAAGGAACACCTCCTTTTTGTTGTCCCACCGCTATCCACCCCCACTCATCGCTGTCATCACCCAAGATAGCCACCAAACTTGTTCTCCATGCATTTTTGCACTTCCCCCTTGCTACCGCCACCCCCGCCAACCATCCCGATCCCCCTAGCCGACCTTCACCACCCTGGGATACGCTTTAGAGGTTTTTGTTTGTGTCGTTTTATGTTTGGTATCACTTATCTCCTATTTGAAGAGCAGTCATTATAACCCTATTTGAATTCAACAATAATATTTATATTCCTATTGTGGTTTGGTTAACTCTAGTATCAACCTTCGTGAGTGTTCACACACAAATATTGTATATTTTATTATAAATACTTCAAGTCAAATTTTAAGTTGACATGAAATAAGCCAGCAAACATGAAATTAACTTTAACTTGACATCAACTGATACCAAAATTAACCCAAACCATAATAGAAATGTGAATGTTATTGCTGAAATTAAAAAGGGCTACAAACAAAGACACTTGATATTAGAAAAATAATGGCACAAACATAAAATAAGCTCTAGGGTGATAGCAAAGGTGGTGGATGGCGGCGGGACAGCAGGTAGAGGGGTTGGTTGGGAGTTTCGGGCCAGCTGAAGGCTTGAAATGGCATGGTTGAAACATTGGAAGGCCGGGAGAAGGGGCACCAACAACAGGATAGCAAGGAAAAGGGAGGCAGCAGCAAGCTAGGAGGATGGAGGGCTGGCGACAGCGGGCTAGGAGGGAGGGAAGGTCTTGTTGCAGTAGGTGGGGTGGCAGCAATAGAAAGTGGGAAAAAGAGTTAGCGGCGGAGAAAACAAGAGACGTGGAAGATGGGTATCCCCGCGGGATCAAGTTATAGTCGAAGCATGCCTCAAACCTTTGGAGAAGATCACCACCTTAGGCTAGTTACAGTCAAAGCACCTCCTCGATTTCTAATACAAACATAGAAGGGAAAACAGCCTTGACAGCTAGTTTGGACAAAAATTTGAAATCTAAAAGGCAAAAACTCACCCTAACTAAAGCAAATAACACCTATATATAATGAAGAATAGTAGATAGAATATTTAGGGAATAGAAATAGAAATGTGATAAAAAAGGAATGAGATATACAAGAAAAGTGCTAGAAAAGGAAGGGCTAGACAAGGCAAAAAAATTGATAGGAAAAAGAGGGTGGGGGATAGAAGGGTTGCATCATGGTACCGTGTCTTGGTAAGCTCTCGTGTCAATCTCCCAGGTTGAAGGGAACTTCGACTTCATTTGTCGAAGCTTTAGGGTCCTTGTAGTATAAATTCGGGTCTATGACATTAAACGTAGCAGAAACATTGCAGTCTCCTAGCAGGTAGATCTTGTAGGAATTGATATAATAAATATATATTATTTTTTGGCACATGCTGAGTTGGAGATGCACATAGATGTAGGTTTCTACAACGTAACTCTCGAGCTCGTAAGTCTGAAACATTCTTCTTCCATTTCTCGTACTCAACGAAATATCGTTGATAAACAAGTATGTGAGAAGAAATCAATTATAGGAAGAAATTTGTACCAAGCTGCACGACTCTCACAAGCAACCACTCAAAAGAGACTTTTTCTTCACTAATAGGACTTGGATCTCATTGAAGAATTTACTTTCCCATCAAGATCCAAAGATAAATTTTAAGGATGGGGTTCATTCCTTCTGCCTGGACATCTGATGATGGATATCATGTTGAACTAAATATAACATATGAAAAACTCCATATAATCTTCCTAACTTGGCACAAAAGGTCCCCCTTTATGAAGTGTTTGACCTCTCTCAGTAAGAGTAACTCAGGAATGAGTATAGATTTAAATGGTCTGAATTTCTCCTATCTGGGGTTGTCATGTGTCTCATAACGGCTCCTCAAACTCATGGCCCCTTTAGACATCCAATGTCAGTCCTACTGATGCTTCTCTCAACACCTGCAAAATGCTAACTCGAGGCACCATATCGTACTCTATTGGAAAGCCTGTTACATTAGAGTAACTATCTTCTATAACAACTAATGTTGCCTCAGCTAGAATCTCTATCTTGGGGTCAGTTTTAATCGATAGTGTCTCTTCCTAATCTGAAAATTGAAAACCTCTCTTAAGTCTTCATCTTCTTCTGGATCACTCTTTATTTCTTTAACTACTCCAAGATCAGTGAAAGTGATCACTCTCCTAATAATGCAATCTGACTCACTATGCCCAAACCGATATCACCTAAAGCACTTCTACATTGGGGTGAATTTAGGAATGCAGCTTGGTTCCCCCTATTCTCCACTTTCAATCAGCTCTTCCTCTAACGATGTCAGCTTGGATGTTCTCCAAAGTGTAATCTAGCTGTAAGATCCTTACCTATAAGATGAGGTGGTCGCTCGACGATGTGTTCTCTCCACTTATGAACCTAGAATTTGAACATCCTATTTATAGTAAGCTGATAGGAACTGATGTTATGTCTTCCGCTTCATCTTCAGATTCTCTCGTTCTCCCTTTCGACTCTCCAAATCACGGTCAAGAGTATTTCCCTTGGGTTTCATCCTCAATGTCCGCAAACTTCAACTAAAGTCGTTGGATATTTTGTTGTATCTCTTCCCGGGTAGACTTTTGTATGTATCTTCTTAGTGGCATGGCTTAGGTTTAGGGTTGGGAAGTG